GAAAAGGCAGAACCCTCTGTTTTCATGTCAGAAGGAATTGCTATGTCTGCCCAAAATAATGGATATCAGGGAAAGAAAGAAAAACACACAAGTAAATAAATAACTTTGCCTTTCTTTTTGTAACAAAATAACATTCAGGGACTAACTGAGAGGAAAAGGCAACTGAAGAATATATTATAAAAAAAAAATAAGAAAAATGGTCATCTTTACTATGGCAAAAGATTCTTAGATAACCAGCACCTTATTGGGCCACAAAATTTTGTGATGCAATTCTAAAACTGAAAGAAGAATGTGAAGCAGAGAAGCGGATACATTTGCAAATAATACCAAATTTTGGTTGCTTAGCTCCCCCCTTTGATCACTGAGGCACTGCAGATGATAGAACATACATCTCTGGGACCTGAGAAAATTCAGGTTCAGTAAAAACAAATGCTTATCAAAAGTTACAGAAGTATAGAAAAAAAAACAAAACAAAAGAAGAGAAATTTAGTATGTTTAGGAACTAAAAGCAACTTTGGATTAATAGGGAAAGGATCCTGGTACCATTTCAGAGAACTCAAAAAAAATGCATAATGTGGGGCTGCGGTGGAAAACAAACAAAAGGTTGGATCCATGAGGAACATGAGAGCATAATTTGAAAAATATTAAGCCTAGATATCTGTGATTTGTTTTTACTTGGACTACTGAATGCCAAAATAGTCATTCCACTTATGATATTGCAGAATATGAGAGGAACATCAAGATTAGAGTATAAAGTTTATAAAACTTATTTATACCTTGAAAAATAGGTAAATAAAAAGCAAATTCTCCTTTTTTCATATTTTTATATTACATATAAGAACATATAAAATAAAAATCAGACAGCTTACTGCTTTGGCCTGCTTTTTCTCATAACATTAAGAGAAGATACTTAATTAAAGCCCTATACATTAATAACCATCAAAAGAAAACAATATGTAATTACACTAAAAAATAGTCTGCATTACCAAAACCAAGAAATCAGCAAAAAAAGTAAATTAATTATGGCAGTAGACATTTTTGCAAGCATATATCCTGAATCACAGCAATCACTGTTACTGGCTGGAATATAAAACTTCATTTCTAGCCAATTTCTAATTACTAAGAATTGCAACAGGCTTTCCAGGACAGCAGCTCTGCAGCTTCCTGAGCCTTCTCCTCAAGATGACCACTCTCAGCAGCTGCATGTTGGACAAGGAAGATGAGATGCAGCACATAATTCAGAAAAACAGAAGTAGGGGTCTGCATTTTAGGTGACCTGGAGGACACGGCTCCTGTTAAGGAACATACAGGCAATAATCTGTGAAACCCAGAGCGACACTGAGCTGAACAAACATATGAATCTACTTTAAGAGCTATTAATCTTATCCTCCGTAACTAAATTTAGGCATCTATCAATCCATCACCGAATCCCACCCTGAAGCCAGGGCAGGCTGAGTCCCCACTTGAAGCATCATCTAGCACATTTAGTCTCACACTCCTGGAGGGGAGCTTCCCCAGTTATCGTGAAATTATTTCCTTGCTCTTCTCAGAAGCAACTAGGTAGGAGAATTAATCTATTCAGGAGTTTCACTTTTCTTGAGAATGCATATGTAGTAAGAGATTGAGCATCCACAGCTTTGTGAGCAAATGTGAAACAGACTAGAAGTTTGCCTTACTAAAATCAAATGCTCGAAGATAGCTAGACTTTGTAAAAATTTACAAAAAAATGTACAAATTAACTTGTACAAAGTAAAACCTCAAAACCAGTACCTCTACCTGAAATTATTATCTTGCCATCATAACTGTCACAGAAGAGGACAACAATTAAAATGTTTCAGACATCAGTTTGGATGGACTAGCTGTAAGTGCTGCCACATGATGCTTGTGAAACTAAGCCAAGATTTATCATAACCCATGGCATTTTATACACGCACCTGGACAAACAACTGAAAAACTACACTGTTAAAATGTACAGCTGTTTTTTTTTTCCCTCTCCCAGTGTGTATCAAAAGGGTTTTTTTTGAGGTTTTTTTTTCATGGAAAGAAAGACAGAGGTTCACACCTAAGGCAAAATCTACCTTGTCAAAAAGAAATCAGAGCTCATGGCCATCTTTGCTGCCCTGTAGAGCTGTGTTGATTTGAATATACCTGTCTAAAAGTCATTTTATTATTTAAAAATCCTGTTCCTTATACACCGACATTTATAAACAACCTCCTGGGGTAGAAGCAAAGCAATGGCGGGGGAGGAGGAAGGGGGCTGGAGGGAGAATTCAACAGAATACTCAAAAACATTAAGAGAGCTCAGCCCAAATTCCTGCCACGGAACTGGGGGTACCTGGGGAGCAAGAGTCCTGTGGCTGATGGAGAGGGTGATACGGAGCTTGGCCAGGCTCCGCTGCCCTTCGGATCTACTCCTCACACTCATAGGAAACGGGTACCCAACAGAGAAGTGGCAAACAGAAATAGAAGCAGAAAATGCCTATGACCTACCACTCGTTAGCACAAGCCTATTCACTGGGAACTGCTTGCTAGTAGATAGCTGATTGCTCATTGAAAAGCAATGATGATATCAGCAATAAAGTACAAATTGAAACAGATGAGCTGTTGCAGCCTAGCAGCTTCTTATTTTAATTAGCAAATATTTATTTATCTCAACGTCCCCCTTATCCTCAATATGTTTGTAGTAGAAAGGAAAAGTAATTCTGGGCAATAAGGCTGATATTTAGTTACATGGAATATTCTACAAACACGCACATTACAAATAAACTCAATCTCAAATCAGTGTGTTGGGACTAACTTTAGGACTTGAGTTTTATCCAAAGAAAGAGCACGGAAAATTCTGACATACACAGTTCTGTCTCCAAGCAGAGACTAGAAAGGGCAAAAGAAGGCAAAAGGGTATTTGCACAACAAGCTGGGGGGTTGGGAGACTGGGGACAGGAATGAAGGGGGTGGATTTTTTTTTTTTTTTTTTGACAAGGGTATTTGTAAAACTTAAATTTTAATGAAAATTATAAAAAGTGTGTTTTTTAGAGATATGCTTATTTGGACTCTATTCCACTCACACAAGTCTGTGTTAACAATATTTTCTACAAGGACAAGAAATTCACAGGAACGCAGTAACTCCAGGAACCAAAAAGTTTTGAGAAACAGAGAAAGAAGAAAAGAGAAAACGGAATTCTAAAAAAGACTTGATTACCCTTTTTATAAAATGACAGAAACAAAAATAACTGGTTTTTTTTCATGTCTAAGGAGTACTGCCAGAGAGCAACACTCCAAACCCGTGCAGGCAAGGCCAGAGGATGTCCTGCTCCACTGAGCTGTGTTGCTTGGAGACAGGGTTAGGGAAACACAAAGGAAAAAGCCAAAAGATTAACAGGGATGACAAGTATTCCCATATTTGACAGTCAAACCAGATGACATTTCAACTCAGGAGAACTATAACCCAAATAATTTTTCAACATGAATGTTAGAACTCCTTGGGGAAAACACTGCTTGCTAGAATACCTAGGACATGAAAATAAATAGTGTCACCATAGTTTCTAGTGCTCTGTCCCAAAGACTTCTTTTATCCCTACTTTCTATCCCAAACATCTTGATACTAATTACAAAACAGGTCTTTTGTGAAGAGTTAGATACTTAGTGAGCCTAAGTGATCCTAAAGGATATATATATATATATAAGACACTGTAAGAAAGAATAAAAGGATAAGAAAAGAAAAAAGGAAAAAAAAAAAGCCAAAGATATACCACCTTTCTTCTCCACACAAAATTTCACATATAAACAGGAATGTCTTATTGTATGCTTTGGTGATGGGTAACATTATACACAGAGTTTTCTTACTTTTCTTTATTTCCATAATAGAGAGACCAGTGAAGGAGAGTTAGGTCTTCAGGGGATACCGAGTCTTATATCCTGACCTAGGTGGTAAGCGATAGTCATGACTCTACTGGGTTCCTCAACTAAAAGCCTTTGCATGCTTCATTTTTACTCAGCTACCCTGACACCTGAATGACAGCTTCATTTCTGGACAAGGGAAAGACCAAAGTGGAGCTTCTAAGCAATACGAATTTTCTAGTGTCTTGCTTTTCAAATGGCAAGCTAGGTCCTCATGAAGGACCCCATTCATTTGAGCAGGCCAAAATAGTCTTTTTCATTTCATATTTAGTCAGCAAAGAGAAACTTATTAGCATAGCATGATGACCTGTCCATAATAACGGAAACATGTAATTCCAGTGCTCCAATTACTCCAGTAGTTGTCTGAGAAATATCAGAATAAGGATATCCTGGAGCCACAACGAACAAGCTTTGAGACCCGCATTAGGACTGCCTCTGGAATAAACAGCAACACTGACAACACTGACAATCTGTGATATTTAAATCTTTGGGAAAATGTACTATTAGCATTTTAAAAGAGAATAGTTGCATCGGCAAAAAAAGGAAAGTAATTAATTCTACTGCAGTTGGTGGAAGAACTTGTGACCTTCAAGAGAGCAAGTTTACCCACAGTCTTCTTCACTGCTAGTTCTTGTTCATAAAATTTACCTCTCCAGAGGTTGAAAATGAGCATAGGAACAGTGTCAGATGCTATCATAGTTTCAACAAAGCTGCTAAACAATAAACGTCAAGAACTGCGTGTAGAACATACTTGTAAACTTCATATAAACACGGATGTTAACAGCACCCTCGTTCCTCATACTACTGTCACAATCTAAGTACAACAATGAAAACACTTATTCATAGGACTTAGAAGCTATTAAAACATAGGAGTATGATTAGCAATGTTAAAAAATGCTGAATTCTGTTAAAAAGAATAACTAAGACAAAATTATTAACAGCCTATGTGATACTGTTTTGATATAAGCTATATCATTTCCAAATAAAGGGCATTTCATTTTATTTTCAAATGAAGCAAAATGAGAAGCTATTCAGAGATTGTTGGTTTTCCAAGTAACAGACTATGTACAGGTTTGAAGATTAGCGCTGTAATTGTTCCATACCGTGAAGCTGTTGTTGACATTTTTTGTGCTTGATTCAGCTACACTGGCATCTGACAGGTCAACTTCGTCAAATATTAGAGACTGCGAATAGAAAAGAACACAAAACATTAAATACTGTCTGAATCCCCTTCAACTAAGCTTTTTAATCGCTGCTTTCATTTTCTCATGTCCCTTCCAACTGGAAAATAAAAATAGAAATAAAAATTGGAAGAAAAAAAAGACCAGACTGCTGGACATAAAACCTTGAAATTCTAAATTTATTAATTCAAGTCAACAATATGGTGCTATAATAGGAGGAAATGGAGCTGAAGGGTATCAAGAGATCCCTTCCACTCCTCTGTTTGCTGCTCCAGTAACAGAAACAGAGCCATCTCTAGACACCCCAGCCCCTGGCAAAGGATTAGGCATCTTTGGATAAAACTCCTGATGACTCAAAAAAAGCAAAGGGAAGACCGACAAAATCACCTTGCTCTTTCAGTGCTTGAGGAGAGTAAGAGCTTCAGTTAGAGGAGCAGCCACTAGATGTTGGTCGGGGTCCTGAAGCACCTGCAGCTCCCACGAGTCGCCGGCAGCTACAAAATGGCGCGGCCTGCGCCGGCCAACAGGCCCAAACGCTCCCCCTTCAGAGCATGAGGGGGAGGGAGGAATGCCCTTCAGGACCACGGAAACATTCCCACCCCCGATTTTCCCAGTGACAATTCCCTTCAATGAGAAACAGCTTTTTTTTTTTTTTCCCCCCCTTGCAAATCAATTCTGGTAAAAAAGCTTCCCCAATTTCATGTAACCTTTCACATCCGTTTAAGAACAGCGTGAGCATTAGGCTGCAAGAGTCTGACTGGAATTTGGTCAGAAGGATAAGTTTTGAACAATAGCTGATTTTTACTTTCTTTGGAATAGAAGATTTGTCTGAGAGCGCCTTCACCCCAGAACAACACTCAGATCAACATATTATTTTTCTAAGCAGTCTAAAAAGGTTAAAAGAACAACGATAAAATAGATTTAAAAAACAAAGGAGGATCACCACCCCTCCTTGGTGGGAGGTAATTTAGCTAATCACATCTTACACTTTTTTTTTTAACTAAGCAATCACTAATAAACCATTAAATTATTATTATTGCAATTATAAACCAAAACAAAATTGCGTTTAGCAATAAATTGCATTAATTGGTAGTATCACAGAATTACCTTTGAATCCTTAGCATAGTAAAGGGTACGACCTCGAAGTTTGAAATAACGCTTTTTCCACCTCTGGAAAGAACTGGTTTGCTTCAGTAGTAATCCTTCTTTTATGCTTGTCTGAAAAATACATTAAAACAAGGTACACGAGGTAAATACATATCTAAATGCGTAACTATGCAGATGAAAGTTAAGTTTTAAAATATATGTTACACCTCATATAATTGTCAATTTTAATCTGTATCTATTCATATTAAATCCAGACTAATGCTCTGGCCAAGCAGACTATTCATAGCTATTTTTAAAATAATGACAGTGTTGGCAAAATGCTGATTTTACACATGCAATAAAAAGGCATGTGCAGAGACATATAATTACTGTGGCAATTAATACAAAATAATTCAATTGTTTGGATAGCTGCAAAACTGCAAACGTTAAAGCGAGCAATAACTGAGCGTGGCACAATTCAGGGGAAAAAAAATTGCCAAGAGCAATCCCCACATGGCTATTTGCAGTTCCAGAATCTGATTATGTTCAACAGGAATACAATTTCCCCACAGGCCCTCGTTCAACAAGGTACTTAAACTTGTGTCTGATTCAAGGACATGAATCATGCCTCTGAAGTGGACAGCATGATCCAATATGCTGAAAGTTATGCACGACTTCAAGCACCTTGCCCAACCGAGGCCTTAAGCACAAAATCAGCTTGCAAATGGGCTTAATCATTTTATGGAAAGTGTGGGAGCAATAATAGCCAGGGGCATTCTTGCTAGGCAAATATTTTTAGTCAAAAAAGAAACAGATTCACCAGGCTCATCCTAACTATCCCACTGCAATGCGAATCCCACCTCCACAGAGCTGATTTACTGAGATCAGCAAAATACAAATTAGCGTATTTTAGATGTGTGCTGCTTTTGACAGCAGCATGTGTGGGATTCCTCATGCAACTGATTACACAAATTCTCCATTTAACTGGATGAAATGATGTGATAGAGCATTTTAGTCCTGTGTCTTGAAAACCATCTTCTTCAACTTTGAAGCACACAATGGCTGTTAGAAAAAGCAAGCACCTTTGGATATTATATTCCAAAACATTCTCTAAAACACAATATTCCCAGTTTGTACTGAAACAATGTGATGCACGTCTAAAAATACAATTTCTACACAACAGGACACAAAGGCCATTTTGCAGTTATTCTAAACTCCTTGAGGACCTAAGATCTGACTGCAAGTTCATAGATACATTCTTCTTTAAGCAGATTTCAAATTCTCCTTATGTAATAAAAATATAGGAAGAGCAGAAAGCCTTTTCATCTTCCTCCCATTTCCTTTAAATGGGAAACATCATCATTATGTGCATACATAGCACCCTTCATTTAGAGATTCCTAATGTAATAAACGAAAAATATGGTCCAGAGATGAGAAAGCAATCGAATTAATGCATTCTAGAAAGCACCCCTCTCCGATGAGACATCAGAGATGAAAGTTGGGATTTATCTGATTTTACTTCACAGCGATGCCAAACGATACATCCAGCCAGCATCCTGGGTGGCGCAGGGGTAGTAATTCCCAGCTGAAAGGGAGCGCAGAGCATTCTTAACACACGCAATTTTATCATTGCCTGCAATTTTCTGACCAGACCCTAAGATAAGCTATTTTTTCCACACGGTGTAAATAGATTTAATCAGCTAGCAATCCTGCCCGTTGTAAATACGAGCGCATATTGGAAGCTGTTTGCCGTAGCCACGCGGCGCTCGTGCTTCGCGCGGCGCCCTCAGACTGCTGCGCTCCACGGCACAGGATGGGAGGGCAGGACGTGGGGGTCACGGTCCAGAAGAAGAACACAGAAAATCAGATCAAAAGGGAGCATTTTACCAGATAAACAGTAAACATGGAGTTACTGAAAAAAAAATCCCAAGTGGAAGGAAATCCATGTTCGCTACTGTACACTGCACATAACAAGCAAAATCTGAACTCTGCAATTCCTGAAATGCTCAGTATAACCTAAGTGTGGTCCAGGAATACAAATCTCCTCCTCCTCCTCTCCTCCTAGGCTAGTAAGCCTAGAGCTTACTGCTCACTAAACATTAAATTTAACCCTTCCATGTCATTTTTATGCCTGCAAATACTATTTGCCTTTGTTGAACCCATTAAAACACCAGGATGCCTAAGATCAAACTAAGTACTCCAAAATTAAAATCGTTTAGCAAGTGAGCCCTGCAAAAATAACTCCCTGAAATCGGCAACAAATAGCCATGCCACCTCTTCAGAATGTATTTCTATATTAAAACAGTAGAAAAACGCTGGATTGGTAAATGTTCCCCAAGAAATACAAGTATTCTTCATGAAATACATATCCCAAGCTTCCTCTTTATGACCAATACAGAGAGCGGACTGAGGTTTAAGCATCGAACACAGCCAATTCCAAGGCTGCAGAAACCACATCCAAGCATCAGGTTTGGGCTCCCGTTCTTCAGTTAACCTCATTTAATCCCTAAAACGTGCAGGAAACCTCAAACTGCCAACCAAGTTGTTAGCTCTTCTGCTAATACTGCCGTCCTGAACGGGCACCCAGGTCACAGCCCTTGCAGTGACTTCAGGTGAGAGGGAACCTCTCCCCACCATCGAATCCAGGTCCCTGTTATCACACACAGACAGGTCACGGAAAGTGTTTCAGACACTGATGAGGCTGCGGCTGCACCTGCACAGAGCAGCCAGGACTTTTCCTCACACAACTGCAATTAAGATGTTGCTCCAAGTTCTCACTCTTCTGATTATGAGAAACCTTCCTCTAATTAATCTCAGCTGGACATTAAATCTCAAGCATAAGCAACAACCATTGCCAATTATATTAACTTCTTTCCTGCTGTAAATTAGGAGAGATTTAATGTGCAAATCCCACAATCCCAGGCTCCTTCACACCTTTGCAGAATCACCTCTCATCTGCTTGGCCAAGCCTCTCATTTCCCCCTGCAACAACCTGTTAAAAACCAGCAATACAGCATCACACCACCAGAAGGCAGCTATAATAAAGGCTAAAGTTTTAGGCATACAGCAAAAGCGCAGAATTAACATAGCATCTACTATAACAATAATGAAAGGTTGCATTATCGATAAGCTTGACTGTGTTTTCAACTCAAAATAAAATTCATCACTAACGACTTTTACTACTTTAGCCATAAACAACTAGGGAAATGATCCACACAATCGCAGTCACATCGCAGGGCTACAGAGCCCCAGTCACAGGCCACTTGGCTGCTATTTCAAACCTCTGGACAGTCCTGCTCCCCCCACCTTCATATAGAGAGAAATCACTGAAAAAGGTGGCTAAAACCATTCAGGGGACAGAGCAAAAACTGCACATCCTCACCCAGCAGGTAGCAAATTGTAGAATTTGCTATCACAGAAGACTGCAGAGGGGATCCGTAACAGCGAGATCGAAACAGGATTACACAAATTCAAGGGCAACACGTGCAGCTAAGGCCCCTCTCATGTCCCATGAGGAAGTGCTACGGGACTGGCTACTTGATGGCCAAACTCACGTGCTCTTCATTACCTGCCGTTCCTCCGGTTCAGGAGCAAACTCCAACGCAGCAGGACGTGCGTTACGATGTTGGGTTTTATTTCCCCTCAGTTTGACAGTATCTGTTTTGTTTTAGAGGTTGTAGGAGTATCCAGGCCCTCATGGCCTTCACTTACCACAGTATTTAATCCTTGGGTTGTTGATAAACCAGGGCACAAATTAAAAAAAAAAAAAAAAAGAGAGAGCGAGCGAAATAAAGCAAACCTTGACTGTTTTAAACTATGGGGGGCTTTTGCTTATTTACACAGTCTACTCAACTCTGGCTAAAGGCAGACACAATCCTCAACATGTTACCTGGTAAAGTCTTGCTGTTCTTATTAACTAAGAGCCCCTTAAAATATTCAAAGTGTTTGCTAGATTGAAAATGACACTCGTCATTAAAAAAGTGACGATCAAACTCTCAGGTTTGATTAAAAGTCTGACCTGGGAATCCCAAGCTCACGGTTTGCTTGACAATCACAGCGTAGCAGCTCCCATTACTGCCACTTAGGCTGACAGGTATTTCATTAGCGGTGTCAAAATAAAAATGGATTTTATCTGCAGAGAATAAAAGCTTCATCAGCTGCTCAGTACAAAGTTACATTTCTATTGAGGATTCTTAATGATAGTGAAGAAACTCTCACATTTCAGAAAACAAACCAAGAGTACTTACGAATTAATATGGCTAAAAACACTCATAATAAAAAATATCAAAAATCCATACAATCAAACTGGCTATAAAACTGCTTCATTTTTAGGAAAATCTTTAAAAAATAAGCACTAACAAAAAAATGATCACTCAGTGCAACCTGTTCCATTAACTGGAGCTCCTGAATGGAGCTGCCACAGGCTGCACTGCAAATACGTTCTCCAGGTTACAACCAGATGCCACCAGTGACAGGGAAATCACAACACGTTGCAAAAGCCACATGGGCAGTCTGTCACTGTTGGTAACACCTATACCCACACAGGTTTGGGGTTTTGTTTTAAAGAAAGCCGAGCCAGCTTTGCAAGCTACCCAAAATTTCACAATAAAAACCAGCCACCTTCACTTCCACCACAATACTAACCCATGACTAAGCACCACAATTGTGTGTAATGGCAAAAACACCAGCATATTCTACCAAAGTTTTCTTTCTATTCTGTGTTTTGGGGAAGGGGTTCCTGTAACTACAATATAAGGTAGAGCAGTAAAACACGAAGCAAATATAGAAATCGTTCTGCAATTTCCTAACAAAAATATGTTGATAATTAGGAGCTATTCAGTTACCACACTGATCTAAAAATGGAAATTAAACCATGCATCAAAAGAAAAGGATATTACCATATTAGGATGCAACACTATAATGGAAATTAAAAAAAAATGTATTACACTGAGCTTGATATGACACTGAGAGTCAGAAAAACAACTTTATCTACAGTTGAGGTATTTAAATTCTCAATTGCCATCCATGTATAAAAGGTTGATTTCAGTCTTTATTCTCATTAATCAGAGGAAGGAAAATCAGCTGTAAAATAAGAGATAAAACACTTTGCAGAACTAAGTGCCAAAGACCTA